AAGGTGAAAATTCACACTATTGAGTGTCACGCCTGTACGCTTTGTCAAAATGACACAAAATTTGACACACACATGTATCTCAATAAGATCTACAAAAAAGTCAGTGCGGGCGTATCTGTCAAATGTACGGTTAAAGGGTTATTTCGCATTTTTTGCCGATCCGCACACATTGGAATTTCGCTAACTCCTCCGAAGGCTTTCGTTCCACCGGCACCACATTTGCTCAGGCCAATCTACACCCCATGGCCATTAAAAGTTATTCAAATCATGACGCTGCACCCCACGGTTTAGGTTCTAGGGGGCGCCAAAGATAACCCTAAAATCCACATATTTAAAAGTCTTATAACTTTTTATTTTTGTCCTCACTGGCCTCCAAGTTTTCTAGGATGATGCAATGTCCAGCCATCAACACATTTGTGAAGGAATTTTTACTCCCCAAAAGAGCGCCCCCCCATGGCAGGAGAAAAAAGTCCATTTTTTCTTGTCCCCTAAGGTGAAAATTCACACTATTGAGTGTCACGCCTGTACGCTTTGTCAAAATGACACAAAAATTGACACACACATGTATCTCAATAAGATCTACAAAAAAGTCCATGCGCGCGTATCTGTCAAATGTACGGTTAAAGGGTTATTCCGCATTTTTTGCCGATCCGCACACATTGGAATTTCGCTAACTCCTCCGAAGGCTTTCGTTCCACCGGCACCACATTTGCTCAGGCCAATCTACACCCCATGGCCATTAAAAGTTATTCAAATCATGACGCTGCACCCCACGGTTTAGGTTCTAGGGGGCGCCAAAGATAACCCAAAAATCCACATTTTTAAAAGTCTTATAACTTTTTATTTTTGTCCTCACTGGCCTCCAAGTTTTCTAGGATGATGCAATGTCCAGCCATCAACACATTTGTGAAGGAATTTTTACTCCCTAAAAGAGCGCCCCCCCATGGCAGGAGAAAAAAGTCCATTTTTTCTTGTCCCCTAAGGTGAAAATACACATTGTTGACTGTCACGCCTGTACGCTTTGGCAAAATGACACAAAAATTGACAATCATGTGTATCTCAATTAGATCTACGAAAAAGTCAAAGAGCGCGTATCTGTATAATGTACGGTAAAAGGGCTATTTTGCATTTTTTGCCGATTCGCACACATTGGAATTTCGCTAACTCCTCCTAAGGCTTTCGTCCCACTGACACCAAATTTGCTCAGGCCAATCTACACTCCATGGCCATTCAAAGTTGTAAAAATCATGACGCTGCACCCCACGGTTTACGTTTTAGGGGGCGCCAAAGATGACCCAAATATACATTACAGTAGACAAAGTAGTTTTGCCCACTGAGTGGCGCCAAAGGGACTTGTCTGTGGAGTCTGTGAGTCACTATTGGCCGTTTTTGACTACTTTAGATTTTACCTTTATATTTCCTCTTACAAAATTTTTACCTTGCCTTGCCTGGTATCATTTTTTTCAGCACAACCTCACCTGTGTCAATTTACAGTTATTTTATCATTTTGACATACTATATTTACACATTGGACCCAAATTCACACACAAAACATAAAATCCGAGTGGAAAAAAGTAACGTTTTTACTGTGGAAACCACAAATATGTGTGATGAACTGTTTTTAGGGCCCGAGCGTAGCTGCTAAGCAGCTGCGAGAGCCCTCTTGTTCCTGATGGATTCTTCTTTTGTTATTATTATTAGGGCCCGAGCCAGCTGCAGAGCAGCCGGGCGTAGAGCCCTATTATTCCTGTATAGGTTTTTCTTTCTTCTTTCTTTCTTTCTTTCTTTCTTTCTTCTTATTTTTCCTCCCCTTTGAAGGGGAAAATGGCCCACTTCCCACTGGCGAAAACTCAGGAAATTTGGCAGGACGACCGGGCCTGGTGAAAAATTCGATATTCTGAAGTCGCCCAAACAATAAAATGCAAAATGGCTCCATAGCGCCCCCTAAGGCGAAAATTCACATTGTTGAGTGTAACACCTGTACGCTTTGTCATTTTGACACAAAAATTGACACACACGTGTATCTCAATACGGTCTACGAAAAAGTCAGTGCGGGCGCATCTGTGAAATGTACGGTTAGAGGGTTATTTCGCATTTTTTCCCGATCCGCACACATTGGAATTTCGCTAACTCCTCCGAAGGCTTTCGTTCCACCGCCACCACATTTGCTCAGGCCAATCTACACCCCATGGCCATTAAAAGTTGTACAAATCATGACGCTGCACTCCACGGTTTACGTTCTAGGGGGCGCCAAAGATAACCCAAAAATCCACATTCTTAATAGTCTTATAACTTTTTATTTTTGTCCTCACTGGCCTCCAAGTTTTCTAGGATGATGCAATGTCCAGCCATCAACACATTTGTAAAGGAATTTTTACTCCCGAAAAGGGCGCCCCCCATGGCAGGAGAAAAAAGTCCATTTTTTCTTGTCCCCTAAGGTGAAAAAACACATTGTTGACTGTCACGCCTATACGCTTTGTCAAAATGACACAAAATTTGACACACACGTGTATCTCAATAAGATCTACGAAAAAGTCAATGGGCACGTATCTGTAAAATGTACGGTTAAAGGGCTTATTTCGCATTTTTTGCCGATTCCGCACACATTGGAATGTGGCTAACTCTTCCTAAGGCTTTCTTCCCACCAACACCAAATTTGCTCAAGCCGATCTACATCCCATGGCCATTCAAAGTTGTAAAAATCATGCCGCTGCACCCCATGGTTTACGTTCTAGGGGGCGCCAAAGATGACCCAAATATCCACATTCTTAAAAGAATCCACATCCCCCCCCCCCCCCCAAGGCAGGAGAAAAAGTCCAGTTAACCCTGCCCATCGCTCAATGGCTCAATCGCATCGCTCTCCCGGCAACACCGTAAGGAGGAGCAACTTGCCATTTGGATATATCCTAGCTGTGTTTGTGCCCTCACTCATGGTCCAGACTTTTTTCAAATAGGACATGTAGTTTGTCTGCAGCGGCCGTTTTGGTAGAAACTGCGCCTCCCATTCATTATAATGGGAAATGACCACAGACAAGTGCGCACACCATCTTTGGACCTTGAGTGTGATGCAATCGGGAGGGGGAGGCGGTCGCGCTGGGTGCGGCGCGACGCGGCTCGGGCCCGACAGTGCCCCACCGGGGCCCTAGTTATTATTTTTCCTCCCCTTTGAACTGGAAAATGGCCCACTTCCCACTGGCGAAAACTCATGAAATTTGGCAGGACGACCGGGCCTGGTGAAAAATTTGATATTCCGAAGTCGCCCAAACAAGAAAATGCAAAATGGCTCCATAGCGCCCCCTAAGGTGAAAATTCACACTATTGACTGTCACGCCTGTACGCTTTGTCAAAATGACACAAAAATTGACACACACATGTATCTCAATAAGATCTACAAAAAAGTCAGTGCGGGCGTATCTGTCAAATGTACGGTTAAAGGGTTATTTCGCATTTTTTGCCGATCCGCACACATTGGAATTTCGCTAACTCCTCCGAAGGCTTTCGTTCCACCGGCACCACATTTGCTCAGGCCAATCTACACCCCATGGCCATTAAAAGTTATTCAAATCATGACGCTGCACCCCACGGTTTAGGTTCTAGGGGGCGCCAAAGATAACCCTAAGATCCACATATTTAAAAGTCTTATAACTTTTTATTTTTGCCCTCACTGGCCTCCAAGTTTTCTAGGATGATGCAATGTCCAGCCATCAACACATTTGTGAAGGAATTTTTACTCCCCAAAAGAGCGCCCCCCATGGCAGGAGAAAAAAGTCCATTTTTTCTTGTCCCCTAAGGTGAAAATACACATTGTTGAGTGTAACACCTGTACGCTTTGGCAAAATGACACAAAAATTGACACACACATGTATCTCAATAAGATCTACGAAAAAGTCAATGCGCGCGTATCTGTCAAATGTACAGTTAAAGGGTTATTCCGCATTTTTTGCCGATCCGCACACATTGGAATTTCGCTAACTCCTCCGAAGGCTTTCGTTCCACCGGCACCACATTTGCTCAGGCCAATCTACACCCCATGGCCATTAAAAGTTATTCAAATCATGACGCTGCACCCCACGGTTTAGGTTCTAGGGGGCGCCAAAGATAACCCTAAAATCCACATATTTAAAAGTCTTATAACTTTTTATTTTTGTCCTCACTGGCCTCCAAGTTTTCTAGGATGATGCAATGTCCAGCCATCAACACATTTGTGAAGGAATTTTTACTCCCCAAAAGAGCGCCCCCCCATGGCAGGAGAAAAAAGTCAATTTTTTCTTGTCCCCTAAGGTGGAAATTCACACTATTGACTGTCACGCCTGTACGCTTTATCATATTGACACAAAATTTGACAATCACATGTATCTCAATAAGATCTACAAAAAAGTCAATGCGCGCGTATCTGTCAAATGTACGGTTAAAGGGCTATTTTGCATTTTTTGCCGATTCGCACACATTGGAATGTGGCTAACTCCTCCTAAGGCTTTCGTCCCACTGACACCAAATTTGCTCAGGCCAATCTACACCCCATGGTCATTCAAAGTTGTAAAAATCATGACGCTGCACCCCACGGTTTACGTTCTAGGGGGCGCCAAAGATGACCCAAATATCCACATTCTTAAAAGAATCCACATCCCCCCCCCCCCCCATCCCCCAACCCCCATGGCAGGAGAAAAAGTCAAGTTTTTCCTGCCCATCACTCAATGGCTCAATCGCATCACTCTCCCGGCAACACCGTAACAAGGAGCAACTTGCCGTTTGGATATATCCTAGCTGTGTTTGTGCCCTCACTCATGGTCCAGACTTTTTTCAAATAGGACATGTAGTTTGTCTGCAGCGAGTGTTTTGGTAGAAACTGCGCCTCCCATTCATTATAATGGGAAATGACCACAGACAAGTGCGCACACCATCTTTGGACCTTGAGTGTGACGCGATCGGGAGGGGGAGGCGGTCGCGCTGGGGGCGGCGCAACGCGGCTCGGGCCCGACAGTGCCCCACCGGGGCCCTAGTTAGGGCCCGAGCGTAGCTGCTAAGCAGCTGCGAGAGCCCTATTATTCCTGATGGATTCTTCTTTCTTCTTCTTTAGGGCCCGAGCGTAGCTGCTAAGCAGCTGCGAGAGCCCTCTTGTTCCTGATGGATTCTTCTTTTGTTATTATTATTATTATTTTTCCTCCGCTTTAAACTGGAAAATGGCCCACTTCCCACTGGCGAAAACTCATGAAATTTGGCAGGACGACCGGGCCTGGTGAAAAATTCGATATTCTGAAGTCACCCAAACAATAAAATGCAAAATGGCTCCATAGCGCCCCCTAAGGTGAAAATTCACACTATTGACTGTCACGCCTGTACGCTTTGTCATATTGACACAAAAATTGACACACACATGTATCTCAATAAGATCTACAAAAAAGTCAGTGCGGGCGTATCTGTCAAATGTACGGTTAAAGGGTTATTTCGCATTTTTTGCCGATCCGCACACATTGGAATTTCGCTAACTCCTCCGAAGGCTTTCGTTCCACCGGCACCACATTTGCTCAGGCCAATCTACACTCCATGGCCATTCAAAGTTGTACAAATCATGATGCTGCACCCCATGGTTTAGGTTCTAGGGGGCGCCAAAAATAACCCAAAAATCCACATTCTTAAAAGTTTTATAACTTTTTATTTTTGTCCCCACTGGCCTCCAAGTTTTCTAGGATGATGCAATGTCCAGCCATCAACACATTTGTGAAGGAATTTTTACTCCCCAAAAGAGCGCACCCCCATGGCAGGACAAAAAAGTCAATTTTTTCTTGTCCCCTAAGGTGAAAATACACATTGTTGAGATTCACGCCTGTACGCTTTGTCATATTGACAAAAAATTTGACACACACGTGTATCTCAATAAGATCTACGAAAAAGTCAATGCGCGCGTATCTGTAAAATGTACGGCTAAACGGCTATTTTGCATTTTTTGCCGATTCGCACACATTGGAATGTGGCTAACTCCTCCTAAGGCTTTCGTCCCACTGACACCAAATTTGCTCAGGCCAATCTACACCCCATGGCCATTCAAAGTTGTAAAAATCATGCCGCTGCACCCCATGGTTTACGTTCTAGGGGGCACCAAAGATGACCCAAATATCCACATTCTTAAAAGTCGTTTTGGCCACTGCAGGAGTACAGAGTACTGCAGGATACACACACACAGACACACACACACACAGACACACACACACACGCGCACACACACACACACACACACACACACACACACACACACACACACACACTCAGAGTCTGTTTTTCAGCACCTGCAAAAACATGCTATTTACATATTTGACAACAATGCAGAGACTTCCTTTTGCCCCTGAAAAAAATGAAATTTCAAACACAACTTGACTGCTCATTTCTCCAAAAGACAACCATGAAGCTCCATCCAAACCTGAAGCAGGCAGTTGGTGCATGTGTACAGTAACCTGAGGGGAGTGAGGTGACTGCTTCTGAGGAGAACATGAGCAGTGAAGATTCACCTTGGAGCTAGAACAGGGACGTGCACATGATTATACAGGGGCAGGGGCTCAAGTTTTTTCCAGTCGTTTAGACAATATGGAAATTAATGTGAAATTAAAAAACAAAGTATTAATAGAAAGGTAATGACTGTCCTGTGTAGGTGACAGTGATATCCAATAGGCTAGGCACTCACGAGGCTGGCTGTGGCAAGTGCAAGTGAAAGCCACACGCACTGGCAGGAAGAACAGCAAACGCCGATGAAGGAAAAGGGTCTTTGCAGTGATGGGCGTTACCAGAGAGGACGATGGCCAGAGGACGCGAATGGGACGGGGAGGCAGCGCGGTGGGGGGGGGGGGGGGGCGCGACACAGCTCGGGCCCGCCAGTGCCCCAACAGGGCCCTAGTCTTATTATTTTTCTGCCCCTTTGAACTGGAAAATGGCCCACTTCCCACTGGTGAAAAGTCATGAAATTTGGCAGGACGACCGGGCCTGGTGAAAAATTCGATATTCTGAAGTCGCCCAAAAAATCAAATGCAAAATGGCTCCATAGCGCCCCCTAAGGTGAAAAATTCACATGATTGAGTGTCACGCCTGTACGCTTTGTCAAAATGACACAAAATTTGACACACACGTGTATCTCAATAAGATCTACAAAAAAGTCAGTGCGGGCGTATCTGTCAAATGTACGGTTAAAGGGCTATTTCGCATTTTTTGCCGATCCGCACACATTGGAATTTCGCTAACTCCTCCGAAGGCTTTCGTTCCACCGGCACCAAATTTGCTCAGGCCAATCTACACCCCATGGCCATTAAAAGTTGTACAAATCATGACGCTGCATCCCACGGTTTACGTTCTAGGGGGCGCCAAAGATAACCCAGAAATCCACATTCTTAAAAGTCGTATAACTTTTTATTTTTGTCCTCACTGGCCTCCAAGTTTTCTAGGATGATGCAATGTCCAGCCATCAACACATTTGTGAAGGAATTTTTACTCGCCAAAAGAGCGCCCCCCCATGGCAGGAGAAAAAAGTCCATTTTTTCTTGTCTCCTAAGGCGAAAATTCACACTATTGACTGTCACGCCTTTACGCTTTGTCATATTGACACAAAAATTGACACACACATGTATCTCAATAAGATCTACAAAAAAGTCAGTGCGGGCGTATCTGTCAAATGTACGGTTAAAGGGCTATTTCGCATTTTTTGCCGATCCGCACACATTGGAATTTCGCTAACTCCTCCGAAGGCTTTCGTTCCAAAGGCACCACATTTGCTCAGGCCAATCTACACCCCATGGCCATTAAAAGTTGTACAAATCATGACGCTGCACCCCACGGTTTACGTTCTAGGGGGCGCCAAAGATAACCCAAAAATCCACAGTCTTAAAAGTCTTATAACTTTTTATTTTTGTCCTCACTGGCCTCCAAGTTCTCTAGGATGATGCAATGTCCAGCCATCAACACATTTGTGAAGGAATTTTTACTCGCCAAAAGAGCGCCCCCCCCCATGGCAGGAGAAAAAAGTCAATTTTTTCTTGTCTCCTAAGGCGAAAATACACATTGTTGACTGTCACGCCTTTACGCTTTGTCAAAATGACACAAAATTTGACACACACATGTATCTCAATAAGATCCAAGAAAAAGTCAATGCGAGCGTATCTGTTCAATGTACGGTTAAAGGGCTATTTCGCATTTTTTGCTGATTCGCACACATTGGAATGTGGCTAACTCCTCCTAAATCTTTTGTCCCATCGGCTTCAAATTTGCTCAGGTCAATCTACACCCCATGGCCATTCAAAGTTGTACAAATCATGACGCTGCACCCCACAGTTTACGTTCTAGGGGGCGCCAAAGAGCACCCAAATATCCACATTTTTAAAAGTCTTATAACTTTTTATTTTTGTCCTCACTGGCCTCCAAGTTTTCTAGGATGATGCAATGTCCAGCCATCAACACATTTGTGAAGGAATTTTTTCTCCCCAAAAGAGCGCCCCCCCATGGCAGGAGAAAAAGTCAAGTTTTTCCTGCCCATCGCTCAATGGCTCAAACGCATCGCTCTCTCGGCAACACCGTAAGGAGGAGCAACTTGCCATTTGGATATATCCTAGCTGTGTTTGTGCCCTCACTCATGGTCCAGACTTTTTTCAAATAGGACATGTAGTTTGTCTGCAGCGACCGTTTTGGTAGAAACTGCGCCTCCCATTCATTATAATGGGAAATGACCACAGACAAGTGCGCACACCATCTTTGGACCTTGAGTGTGACGCGATCGGGGGGGGGGGGGTAGGCGGTCGCCCTGGGGGCGGCGCGACCCGGCTCGGGCCCGACAGTGCCCCACCGGGGCCCTAGTTAGGGCCCGAGCGTAGCTGCTAAGCAGCTGCGAGAGCCCTCTTGTTCCTGTAGTTTCCTTCTTTTGTTATTATTAGGGCCCGAGCCAGCTGCAGAGCAGCCGGGCGTAGGCCCTATTATTCCCCAAGAGGTTTTTCTTTGTTTCTTTCTTTCTTTCTTTCTTTCTTCTTTTTCCTCCCCTTTGAACTGGAAAATGGCCCACTTCCCACTGGCGAAAACTCATGAAATTTGGCAGGACGACCGGGCCAGGTGAAAAATTCGATATTCTGAAGTCGCCCAAACAATAAAATGCAAAATGGCTCCATAGCGCCCCCTAAGGTGGAAATTCACACTATTGACTGTCACGCCTGTACGCTTTGTCATATTGACACAAAAATTGACACACATATGTATCTCAATAAGATCTACAAAAAAGTCAGTGCGGCCGTATCTGTCAAAATTACGGTTAAAGGGTTATTTCGCATTTTTTGCCGATCCGCACATATTGGAATTTCGCTAACTCCTCCGAAGGCTTTCGTTCCACCGGCACCACATTTGCTCAGGCCAATCTACACCCCGTGGCCATTAAAAGTTATCAAAATCATGACGCTGCACCCCAAGGTTTAGGTTCTAGGGGGCGCCAAAGATAACACTAAAATCCACATATTTAAAAGTCTTATAACTTTTTATTTTTGTCCTCACTGGCCTCCAAGTTTTCTAGGATGATGCAATGTCCAGCCATCAACACATTTGTGAAGGAATTTTTACTCCCCAAAAGAGCGCCCCCCCATGGCAGGAGAAAAAAGTCCATTTTTTCTTGTCCCCTAAGGTGAAAATACACATTGTTGAGTGTCACGCCTATACGCTTTGTCAAAATGACACAAAAATTGACACACACATGTAACTCAATAAGATCTACAAAAAAGTCCATGCGCGCGTATCTGTCAAATGTACAGTTAAAGGGTTATTCCGCATTTTTTGCCGATACGCACACATTGGAATTTCGCTAACTCCTCCGAAGGCTTTCGTTCCACCGGCACCAAATTTGCTCAGGCCAATCTACACCCCATGGCCATTAAAAGTTGTACAAATCATGACGCTGCATCCCACGGTTTACGTTCTAGGGGGCGCCAAAAATAACCCAAAAATCCACATTCTTAAATGTTTTATAACTTTTTATTTTTGTCCTCACTGGCCTCCAAGTTTTCTAGGATGATGCAATGTCCAGCCATCAACACATTTGTGAAGGAATTTTTACTCCCCAAAAGAGCGCCCCCCCATGGCAGGAGAAAAAAGTCAATTTTTTCTTGTCCCCTTACATAAAAATACACATTGTTGAGTGTCACGCCTGAACGCTTTGTCATATTGACACAAAAATTGACAATCATGTGTATCTCAATTAGATCTACGAAAAAGTCAAAGAGCGCGTATCTGTATAATGTACGGTTAAAGGGCTATTTTGCATTTTTTGCCGATTCGCACACATTGGAATGTGGCTATCTCCTCCTAAGGCTTTCGTCCCACCGATACCAAATTTGCTCAGGGCAATCTACACCCCATGCCCATTCAAAGTTGTAAAAATCATGACGCTGCACCCCACGGTTTACGTTCTAGGGGGCGCCAAAAATGACCCAAAAATCCACATTCTTAAAAGTCATTTTGGCCACTGCAGGAGTACAGAGTACTGCAGTTCTAGGGGGCGCCAAAGATGACCCAAAAATCCACATTCTTAAAAGTCTTTTTGGCCACTGCAGGAGTACAGAGTACTGCAGGATACACACACATATACACACACGCCAACATACACACACACACACACACACACACACACACACACAGACACACACACACACTCAGAGTCTGTTTTTTAGCACCTGCAAAAACATGCTGTTTACATATTTGACAAGAATGCAGAGGCTTCCTTTTGCCCCTGAAAAAAATCAAATTTCAAACACAACTTGACTGTTCATTTCTCCAAAAGACAACCATGAAGCTCCATTTCAAACCTGAAGCAGATAGTTGGTGCATGTGTACAGTAACCTGAGGGGAGTGAGGTGACTATTTCTGAGGAGAACATGAGCAGTGAAGATTCACCTTGGAGCTAGAACAGGGACGTGCACATGATTATACAGGGGCAGGGGCTCAAGTTTTTTCCAGTCATTTATACAATATGGAAATTAATGTGAAATTAAACCACAAATATGTGTGATGAACTGTTTTTAAAACTTAAACTTCAAATAAAAATTGTAAACTTCAAAACATATGCAAATTTTTAACAAAGAACATAGTAATTTACCTCTATTTACATCAAAATGCAGGCAATGGCCCAGGCATTCTTTGTAAAATTATTTACAAAACACTGTATAGTCTCACAAATGTCACTTTTTATTTATGCCACTACAAAAAAACATGATGTAAATGATGCATGATGTAAAACATGATGTAAAAAACTTGTGTAGATCCTCCTCTATGTCAGTCCATGTGTAATTTTTCCATAATTCTTTGTTTTTTGCAGCATTTTTGTTAGTGTAACTGCAGATTGTGCTGACAGTGTCTATGGCACAAAAAAAAAAAAAATTTAAAATGCCTCAACATGAACCCCTGGTGGTCTCTGAGGGTGAAACCTGCTAACTGCTGCAGCTCTGTCAGCTTCAGTCTCCCATGCAGAGCTCTGAGCGCATGTGTGGCTCTGCACCCTTAGCAGCGTTGCTAACTCCTCAGTAAGGAAAGCCTGCTTCATGTCAGAGTCTCTAAACTCCAGAAGAAGTCGATAAAAGTCCCTTTCTTTCTAAAAAAAAGTCGTTAGGGGGTCTGAAAAGTCATTGAATCTAACAACAAAGTCGCTAGGTTTGCAACTACGTGTCCCAGACTGCATCCCTGCTGAGAGTCCCTCCCTCCCTTCTCATGTTGCAGGAAGAACGTAAGCGCCCGCCCCTTGTCAATCAGTCACCATATAATTTTGGATTGGTTGTTGTGGTGAAGTTTTCCACCAATAGGAGAGATGTTGTGGTGTGTTTTTTTTTCTTTTGGCAAGCCTTTTCCGCCTGTAAGACCTGTCGCTAATGTCTGCATGCTATGTTTTCCTGTCTCATACAGCGCGATCGAGCGCCGAACGTGATCAAAATAAGCAGAAAAAAAGTATCGCGGACATAATTTATCATAACTCTGGTTTTATTTGGCCTATCAACACAATTTAAAAACTGGTATATAGGTTGCGGTCCTCACTTTTAAGATAAGTTGAAACGGAGAGTCAACGAGGCTCCGTCTTGCAGCTACATCCGGTTAAATATGTCATGTGACTTGAACGCACACACAGACACACACACACGCACACACACACACACACACACACACACACTCAGAGTCTGGTTTTTAGCACCTGCAAAAACATGCTATTTACATATTTGACAAGAATGCAGAGGCTCCTTTTGCCCCTGAAAAAAATCATATTTCAAACACAACTTGACTGGTCATTTCTCCAAAAGACAACCATGAAGCTCCATCCAAACCTGAAGCAGGCAGTTGGTGCATGTGTACAGTAACCTGAGGGGAGTGAGGTGACTGCTTCTGAGGAGAACATGAGCAGTGAAGATTCACCTTAGAGCTAGAACAGAGACGTGCACATGATTATACAGGGGCAGGGGCTCAAGTTTTTTCCAGTTGTTTATACAATATGGAAATTAATGTGAAATTAAAAAACAAAGTATTAATAGAAAGGTAATGACTGTCCTGTGTAGGTGACAGTGATATCCAATAGGCTAGGCACTCACGAGGCTGGCTGTGGCAAGTGTAAGTGAAAGCAACACGCACTGGCAGGAAGAACAGCAAACGCCGATGAAGGAAAAGGGTCTTTGCAGTGATGGGCGTTACCAGAGAGGGCGATGGCCAGAGGACACAAATGGGACGGGAAGGCAGCACGTTGGGGGGGGGGGGGGGGGGACGCGACACGGCTCGGGCCCGCCAGTGCCCCAACGGGGTCCTAGTTTGTTATTATTATTATTTTTCCTCCGCTTTAAACTGGAAAATGGCCGACTTCCCACTGGCGAAAACTCATGAAATTTGGCAGGACGACCGGGCCTGGTGAAAAATTCGATATTCTGAAGTCGCCCAAACAATAAAATGCAAAATGGCTCCATAGCGCCCCCTAAGGCGAAAATTCACACTATTGACTGTCACGCCTGTACGCTTTGTCATATTGACACAAAAATTGACACACACGTGTATCTCAATACGTTCTACGAAAAAGTCAGCGCGGGCGCATCTGTGAAATGTACAGTTAGAGGGTTATTTCGCATTTTTTGCCGATCTGCACACATTGGAATTTCGCTAACTCCTCCGAAGGCATTCGTTCCACCGGCACCACATTTGCTCAGGCCAATCTACACCCCATGGCCATTAAAAGTTGTACAAATCATGACGCTGCACCCCACAGTTTACGTTCTAGGGGGCGCCAAAGATAACCCAAAAATCCACAGTCTTAAAAGTCTTATAACTTTTTATTTTTGTCCTCACTGGCCTCCAAGTTCTCTAGGATGATGCAATGTCCAGCCATCAACACATTTGTGAAGGAATTTTTACTCCCCAAAAGAGCGCCCCCACATGGCAGGAGAAAAAGTCCATTTTTTCTTGTCCCCTAAGGTGAAAATACACATTGTTGAGTGTCACGCCTATACGCTTTGTCATATTGACCCAAAATTTGACAATCACGTGTATCTCAATAAGATCTACGAAAAAGTCAATGGGCACGTATCTGTAACATGTATGGTTAAAGGGCTATTTCGCATTTTTTGCAGATTCGCACACATTGGAATGTGGCTAACTCCTCCTAAGGCTTTCTTCCCACCGACACCAAATTTGCTCAAGCCGATCTACATCCCATGGCCATTCAAAGTTGTAAAAATCATGCCGCTGCACCCCATGGTTTACGTTCTAGGGGGCGCCAAAGATGACCCAAATATCCACATTCTTAAAAGTCGTTTTGGCCACTGCAGGAGTACAGAGTACTGCAGGATACACACACACAGACACACACAAACACAGACACACACACACACACACACACACACACACACACACACACACACACACACACACACACACACACTCAGAGTCTGTTTTTTAGCACCTGCAAAAACATGCTATTTACATATTTGACAACAATGCAGAGGCTCCTTTTGCCCCTGAAAAAAATCAAATTTCAAACACAACTTGACTGGTCATTTCTCCAAAAGACAACCATGAAGCTCCATCCAAACCTGAAGCAGGCAGTTGGTGCATGTGTACAGTTACCTGAGGGGAGTGAGGTGAGTGCTTCTGAGGAGAACATGAGCAGTGAAGATTCACCTTGGAGCGAGAACAGGGACGTGCACATGATTATACAGGGGCAGGGGCTCAAGTTTTTTCCAGTCGTTTATACAATATGGAAATTAATGTGAAATTAAAAAACAAAGTATTAATAGAAAGGTAATGACTGTCCTGTGTAGGTGACAGTGATATCCAATAGGCTAGGCACTCACGAGGCTGGCTGTGGCAAGTGTAAGTGAAAGCAACACGCACTGGCAGGAAGAACAGCAAACGCCGATGAAGGAAAAGGGTCTTTGCAGTGATGGGCGTTACCAGAGAGGACGATGGCCAGAGGACGCGAATGGGACGGGGAGGCAGCGCATTGGTGGGGGGGGGGGGGGCGCGACACAGCTCGGGCCCGCCAGTGCCCCAACGGGGCCCTAGTGTTATTATTATTATTATTATTTTTCCTCCGCTTTAAACTGGAAAATGGCCCACTTCCCACTGGCGAAAACTCATGAAATTTGGCAGGACGACCGGGCCTGGTGAAAAATTCGATATTCTGAAGTCGCCCAAACAATAAAATGCAAAATGGCTCCATAGCGCCCCCTAAGGTGGAAATTCACACTGTTGACTGTCACGCCTGTACGCTTTGTCATATTGACACAAAAATTGACACACACATGTATCTCAATAAGATCTGCAAAAAAGTCAGTGCGGGCGTATCTGTCAAATGTACGGTTAAAGGGTTATTTCGCATTTTTTGCCGATCCGCACACATTGAAATTTCGCTAACTCCTCCGAAGGCTTTCGTTCCACCGGCACCACATTTGCTCAGGCCAATCTACACCCCATGGCCATCGAAAGTTGTACAAATCATGACGCTGCACCCCACGGTTTAGGTTCTAGGGGGCGCCAAAGATTACCAAAAAATCCACATTCTTAAAAGTCTTATAACTTTTTATTTTTTTCCTCACTGGCCTCCAAATTCTCTAGGATGATGCAATGTTCAGCCATCAACACATTTGTGAAGGAATTTTTACTCCCCAAAAGAGCGCCCCCACATGGCAGGAGAAAAAAGGCAATTTTTTCTTGTCCCCTAAGGTGAAAATACACATTGTTGACTGTCACGCCTGTACGCTTTGTCATATTGACACAAAAATTGACACACACATGTATCTCAATAAGATCTACGAAAAAGTCAATGGGCACGTATCCGTAAAATGTACGGTTAAAGGGCTATTTTGCATTTTTTGCTGATTCGCACACATTGGAATGTGGCTAACTCGTCCTACAGCTTTCGTCCCACTGACACCAAATTTGCTCAGGCCAATCTACACCCCATGGCCATTCAAAGTTGTAAAAATCATGACGCTGCACCCCACGGTTTACGTTCTAGGGGGCGCCAAAGATGACCCAAATATCCACATTCTTAAAAGAATCCACATCCCCCCCCCCCCCCCATCCCCCATCCCCCATGGCAGGAGAAACAGTCAAGTTTTTCCTGCCCATCACTCAATGGCTCAATCGCATCGCTCTCCCGGCAACACCGTAACGAGGAGCAACTTGCCGTTTGGATATATCCTAGCTGTGTTTGTGCCCTCACTCATGGTCCAGACTTTTTTCAAATAGGACATGTAGTTTGTCTGCAGCGAGTGTTTTGGTAGAAACTGCGCCTCCCATTCATTTTAATGGAAAATGACCACAGACAAGTGCGCACACCATCGTTGGACCTTGAGTGTGACGCGATCGGGAGGGGGAGGCGGTCGCGCTGGGGGCGGCGCAACGCGGCTCGGGCCCGACAGTGCCCCACCGGGGCCCTAGTCTTTCGTTATTTTTCCTCCGCTTTAAACTGGAAAATGGCCCACTTCCCACTGGCGAAAACTCAGGAAATTTGGCAGGACGACCGGGCCTGGTGAAAAATTTGATATTCTGAAGTCGCCCAAACAAAAAAATGAAAAATGGCTCCATAGCGCCCCCTATGGTGAAAACTCACCTGACGCCTGTACGCTTTGTCAAAATGACACAAAATTTGACACACATGTGTATCTCAATAAGATCTACAAAAAAGTCAGTGCGGGCGTATCTGTCAAATGTACGGTTAAAGGGCTATTTGCATTTTTTGCCGATCCGCACACATTGGAATTTCGCTAACTCCTCCGAAGGCTTTCGTTCCACCGGCACCAAATTTGCTCAGGCCAATCTACACCCCATGGCCATTCAAAGTTGTACAAATCATGACGTTGCACCCCACGGTTTATGTTCTAGGGGGCGCCAAAGATAACCCAAAAATCCACATTCTTAAAAGTCTTATAACTTTTTATTTTTGTCCTCACTGGCCTCCAAGTTTTCTAGGATGATGCTATGTCCAGCCATCAACACATGTGTGAAGGAATTTTTACTCCCCAAAAGAGCGCCCCCCCATGGCAGGAGAAAAAAGTCCATTTTTTCTTGTCCCCTAAGGTGAAAATACACATTGTTGAGTGTCACGCCTGAACTCTTTGTCATATTGACACAAAAATTGACAATCATGTGTATCTCAATTAGATCTACGAAAAAGTCAAAGAGCGCGTATCTGTATAATGTACGGTAAAAGGGCTATTTTGCATTTTTTGCCGATCCGCACACATTGGAATTTCGCTAACTCCTCCGAAGGCTTTCGTTCCACCGGCACCAAATTTGCTCAGGCCAATCTACACCCCATGGCCATTACAAGTTGTAAAAATCATGACGCTGCACCCCATGGTTTAGGTTCTAGGGGGCGCCAAAGATAACCCTAAAATCCAAATATTTAAAAGTCTTATAACTTTTTATTTTTGTCCTCACTGGCCTCCAAGTTTTCTAGGATGATGCAATGTCCAGCCATCAACACATTTGTGAAGGAATTTTTACTCCCCAAAAGAGCGCCCCCCCATGGCAGGAGAAAAAAGTCAATTTTTTCTTGTCCCCTAAGGTGAAAATACACATTGTTGAGTGTCACGCCTGAACTCTTTGTCATATTGACACAAAAATTAACAATCATGTGTATCTCAATTAGATCTACGAAAAAGTCAAAGAGCGCGTATCTGTATAATGTACGGTAAAAGGGCTATTTTGCATTTTTTGCCGATTCGCACACATTGGAATTTCGCTAACTCCTCCGAAGGCTTTCGTCCCACTGACACCATAGTTGCTCAGGCCAATCTACAACCCATGGCCATTCAAAGTTGTACAAATCATGACGCTGCACCCCACGGTTTAGGTTCTAGGGGGCGCCAAAGATAACCCAAAAATCCACAGTCTTAAAAGTCTTATAACTTTTTATTTTTGTCCTCACTGGCCTCCAAGTTTTCTAGGATGATGCAATGTCCAGCCATCAACACATTTGTGAAGGAATTTTTACTCCCCAAAAGAGCGCCCCCCCATGGCAGGAGAAAAAGTCAAGTTTTTCCTGCCCATCGCTCAATGGCTCAAACGCATCGCTCTCTCGGCAAAACCGAAAGGAGGAGCAACTTGCCATTTGGATATATACTAGCTGTGTTTGTGCCCTCACTCATGGTCCAGACTTTTTTCAAAAAGGACATGGAGTTTGTCTGCAGCGAGCGTTTTGGTAGAAACTGCGCCTCCCATTCATTATAATGGTAAATGACCACAGACAAGTGCGCACACCATCTTTGGACCTTGAGTGTGACGCGATCGGGAGGGGTAGGCGGTCGCACTGGGGGCGGCGCGACACGGCTCGGGCCCGCCAGTGCCCCACCGGGGCCCTAGTTCTTTCTCTCTTTCTTCTTTTTCCTCCCCTTTGAACTGGAAAATGGCCCACTTCCCACTGGCGAAAACTCATGAAATTTGGCAGGACGACCGGGCCTGGTGAAAAATTCGATATTCTGAAGTCGCCCAAACAATAAAATGCAAAATGGCTCCATAGCGCCCCCTAAGGTGGAAATTCACACTATTGACTGTCACGCCTGTACGCTTTGTCATATTGACACAAAAATTGACACACATATGTATCTCAATAAGATCTACAAAAAAGTCAGTGCGGCCGTATCTGTCAAAATTACGGTTAAAGGGTTATTTCGCATTTTTTGCCGATCCGCACACATTGGAATTTCGCTAACTCCTCCGAAGGCTTTCGTTCCACCGGCACCACATTTGCTCAGGCCAATCTACACCCCATGGCCATTAAAAGTTATTCAAATCATGACGCTGCACCCCACGGTTTAGGTTCTAGGGGGCGCCAAATATAACACTAAAATCCACATATTTAAAAGTCTTATAACTTTTTATTTTTGTCCTCACTGGCCTCCAAGTTTTCTAGGATGATGCAATGTCCAGCCATCAACACATTTGTGAAGGAATTTTTACTCCCCAAAAGAGCGCCCCCCCATGGCAGGAGAAAAAAGTCAATTTTTTCTTGTCCCCTAAGGTGAAAATACACATTGTTGAGTGTCACGCCTATACGCTTTGTCAAAATGACACAAAAATTGACACACACATGTAACTCAATAAGATCTACGAAAAAGTCAATGCGCGCGTATCTGTCAAATGTACGGTTAAAGGGTTATTCCGCATTTTTTGCCGATCCGCACACATTGGAATGTGGCTAACTCCTCCGAAGGCTTTAGTTCCACCGGCACCACATTTGCTCAGGCCAATCTACACCCCATGGCCATTAAAAGTTATTCAAATCATGACGCTGCACCCCACGGTTTACGTTCTAGGGGGCGCCAAAGATAACCCTAAAATCCACATATTTAAAAGTCTTATAACTTTTTATTTTTGCCCTCACTGGCCTCCAAGTTTTCTAGGATGATGCAATGTCCAGCCATCAACACATTTGTGAAGGAATTTTTACTCCCCAAAAGAGCGCCCCCCCATGGCAGGAGAAAAAAGTCCATTTTTTCTTGTCCCCTAAGGTGAAAATACACATTGTAGAGTGTCACGCCTGTACGCTTTGTCAAAATGACACAAAATTTGACATACACGTGTATTTCAATAAGATCTTCGAAAAAGTCAATAGCCACGTATATGTAAAATGTACAGTTAAAGGGTTATTTCACATTTTTTGCAGATCCGCACACATTGGAATTTGGCTAACTCCTCCTAAGGCTTTCGTCCCACTGACACCAAATTTGCTCAGGCCAATCTACACCCCATGGCCATTCAAAGTTGTAAAAATCATGACGCTGCACCCCACGGTTTACGTTCTAGGGGGCGCCAAAGATGACCCAAAAATCCACATTCTTAAAAGAATCCACACCCCCCCCCATCCCCCATCCCCCATGGCAGGAGAAACAGTCAAGTTTTTCCTTCCCATCACTCAATGGCTCAATCGCATCACTCTCCCGGCAACACCGTAACGAGGAGCAACTTGCCGTTTGGATATATCCTAGCTGTGTTTGTGCCCTCACTCATGGTCCAGACTTTTTTCAAATAGGACATGTAGTTTGTCTGCAGCGAGTGTTTTGGTAGAAACTGCGCCTCCCATTCATTATAATGGGAAATGACCACAGACAAGTGCGCACACCATCTTTGGACCTTGAGTGTGACGCGATCGGGAGGGGGAGGCGGTCGCGCTGGGGGCGGCGCAACGCGGCTCGGGCCCGACAGTGCCCCACCGGGGTCCTAGTTATTAGGGCCCGAGCCAGCTGCAGAGCAGCCGGGCGTAGGCCCTATTATTCCCCAAGTGGTTTTTCTTTGTTTCTTTCTTTCTTTTTAGGGCCCGAGCCAGCTGCAGAGCAGCCGGGCGTAGGCCCTATTATTCCCCAAGTGGTTTTTTAGGGCCCGAGCGTAGCTGCTAAGCAGCTGCGAGAGCCCTATTATTCCTGATGGATTCTTCTTTCTTCTTCTTCTTATTATTTTTCTGCCCCTTTGAACTGGAAAATGGCCCACTTCCCACTGGTGAAAACTCATGAAATTTGGCAGGACGACCGGGCCTGGTGAAAAATTCGATATTCTGAAGTCATCCAAACAATCAAATGCAAAATGGCTCCATAGCGCCCCCTAAGGTGAAAAATTCACATGATTGAGTGTCACGCCTGAACGCTTTGTCAAAATGACACAAAATTTGACACACACGTGTATCTCAATAAGATCTACAAAAAAGTCAGTGCGGGCATATCTGTCAAATGTACGGTTAAAGGGCTATTTCGCATTTTTTGCCGATCCACACACATTGGAATTTCGCTAACTCCTCCGAAGGCTTTCGTTCCAAAGGCACCACATTTGCTCAGGCCAATCTACACCCCATGGCCATTAAAAGTTGTACAAATCATGACGCTGCACCCCACGGTTTACGTTCTAGGGGGCGCCAAAGATAACCCAAAAATCCACAGTCTTAAAAGTCTTATAACTTTTTATTTTTGTCCTCACTGGCCTCCAAGTTCTCTAGGATGATGCAATGTCCAGCCATCAACACATTTGTGAAGGAATTTTTACTCGCCAAAGAGCGCCCCCCCATGGCAGGAGAAAAAAGTCCATTTTTTCTTGTCTCCTAAGGCGAAAATTCACACTATTGAGTGTCACGCCTATACGCTTTGTCATATTGACCCAAAATTTGACACACACATGTATCTCAATAAGATCTACAAAAAAGTCAGTGCGGGCGTATCTGTCAAATGTACGGTTAAAGGGCTATTTTGCATTTTTTGCCGATCCGCACACATTGGAATTTTGCTAACTCCTCCGAAGGCTTTCGTTCCAAAGGCACCACATTTGCTCAGGCCAATCTACACCCCATGGCCATTAAAAGTTGTACAAATCATGACGCTGCACCCCACGGTTTACGTTCTAGGGGGCGCCAAAGATAACCCAAAAATCCACATTTTTAAAAGTCTTATAACTTTTTATTTTTGTCCTCACTGGCCTCCAAGTTTTCTAGGATGATGCAATGTCCAGCCATCAACACATTTGTGAAGGAATTTTTTCTCCCCAAAAGAGCGCCCCCCCATGGCAGGAGAAAAAGTCAAGTTTTCCTGCCCATCGCTCAATGGCTCAAACGCATCGCTCTCTCGGCAAAACCGAAAGGAGGAGCAACTTGCCATTTGGATATATACTAGCTGTGTTTGTGCCCTCACTCATGGTCCAGACTTTTTTCAAAAAGGACATGGAGTTTGTCTGCAGCGAGCGTTTTGGTAGAAACTGCGCCTCCCATTCATTATAATGGTAAATGACCACAGACAAGTGCGCACACCATCTTTGGACCTTGAGTGTGACGCGATCGGGAGGGGTAGGCGGTCGCGCTGGGGGCGGCACGACACGGCTCGGGCCCGCCAGTGCCCCAACGGGGCCCTAGTTATTTTTCCTCCCCTTTGAACTGGAAAATGGCCCACTTCCCACTGGCGAAAACTCATGAAATTTGGCAGGACGACCGGGCCTGGTGAAAAATTTGATATTCCGAAGTCGCCCAAACAAGAAAATGCAAAATGGCTCCATAGCGCCCCCTAAGGTGAAAATTCACACTATTGACTGTCACGCGTGTACGCTTTGTCAAAATGACACAAAAATTGACACACACATGTATCTCAATAAGATCTACAAAAAAGTCAGTGCGGGCGTATCTGTCAAATGTACGGTTAAAGGGTTATTTCGCATTTTTTGCCGATCCGCACACATTGGAATTTCGCTAACTCCTCCGAAGGCTTTCGTTCCACCGGCACCACATTTGCTCAGGCCAATCTACACCACATGGCCATTAAAAGTTATTCAAATCATGACGCTGCACCCCACGGTTTAGGTTCTAGGGGGCGCCAAAGATAACCCTAAGATCCACATATTTAAAAGTCTTATAACTTTTTATTTTTGCCCTCACTGGCCTCCAAGTTTTCTAGGATGATGCAATGTCCAGCCATCAACACATTTGTGAAGGAATTTTTACTCCCCAAAAGAGCGCCCCCCCATGGCAGGAGAAAAAAGTCCATTTTTTCTTGTCCCCTAAGGTGAAAATACACATTGTTGAGTGTAACACCTGTACGCTTTGGCAAAATGACACAAAAATTGACACACACATGTATCTCAATAAGATCTACGAAAAAGTCAATGCGCGCGTATCTGTCAAATGTACGGTTAAAGGGTTATTCCGCATTTTTTGCCGATCCGCACACATTGGAATTTCGCTAACTCCTCCGAAGGCTTTCGTTCCACCGGCACCACATTTGCTCAGGCCAATCTACACCCCATGGCCATTAAAAGTTATTCAAATCATGACGCTGCACCCAACGGTTTAGGTTCTAGGGGGAGCCAAAGATAACCGTAAAATCCACAGTCTTAAAAGTCTTATAACTTTTTATTTTTGTCCCCACTGGCCTCCAAGTTTTCTAGGATGATGCAATGTCCAGCCATCACCACATTTGTGAAGGAATTTTTACTCGGCAAAAGAGCGCCCCCCCCCATGGCAGGAGAAAAAAGTCAATTTTTTCTTGTCCACTAAGGTGAAAATACACATTGTTGAGTGCTACGCCTGTATGTTTTGTCGTATTGACACAAAATTTTACATACACGTGTATTTCAATAAGATCTTCGAAAAAGTCAATGGCCACGTATCTTTAAAATGTACGGTTAAAGGGTTATTTCGCATTTTTTGCAGATTCGCACACATTGGAATTTCGCTAATTCCTCCGAAGGCTTTCGTTCCACCGGCACCACATTTGCTCAGGCCAATCTACACCCCATGGCCATTAAAAGTTATTCAAATCATGACGCTGCACCCCGCGGTTTAGGTTCTAGGGGGCGCCAAATATAACCCTAAAATCCACATATTTAAAAGTCTTATAACTTTTTATTTTTGTCCTCACTGGCCTCCATGTTTTCTAGGATGATGCAATGTCCAGCCATCAACACATTTGTGAAGGAGTTTTTTCTCTTTAAAAGAGCGCCCCCCCATGGCAGGAGAATAAAGTCAAGTTTTTCCTGTTCATCATTCAATGGCTCAAACGCACTGCTCTCTCGGCAAAAGCGAAAGGAGGAGCAACTTGCCATTTGGATATATCTTAACTGTGTTTGTGCCCTCACTCATGGTCCAGACTTTTTTCAAATAGGACATGGAGTTTTTCTGCAGCGAGCGTTTTGGTAGAAACTGCGCCTTCCGTTCATTATAATGGTAAATGACCACAAACAAGTGCGCACACCATCTTTGGACCTTGAGTGTGACGCGATCGGGTGGGGGAGGCGGTCGCGCTGGGGGCGGCGTGACACGGCTCGGGCCCGCCAGTGCCCCAACGGGGCCCTAGTCTTTGTTTCTTTCTTTCTTTTTTCTTTTTCCTCCCCTTTGAACTGGAAAATGGCCCACTTCCCACTGGCGAAAACTCATGAAATTTGGCAGGACGACCGGGCCTGGTGAAAAATTCGATATTCTGAAGTCGCCAAAACAATAAAATGCAAAATGGCTCCATAGCGCCCCCTAATGTGGAAATTCACACTATTGACTGTCACGCCTGTACGCTTTGTCATATTGACACAAAAATTGACACACACATGTATCTCAATAAGATCTACAAAAAAGTCAGTGCGGCCGTATCTGTCAAAATTACGGTTAAAGGGTTATTTCGCATTTTTTGCCGATCCGCACACATTGGAATTTCGCTAACTCCTCCGAAGGCTTTCGTTCCACCGGCACCACATTTGCTCAGGCCAATCTACACCCCGTGGCCATTAAAAGTTATCAAAATCATGACGCTGCACCCCAAGGTTTAGGTTCTAGGGGGCGCCAAAGATAACACTAAAATCCACATATTTAAAAGTCTTATAACTTTTTATTTTTGTCCTCACTGGCCTCCAAGTTTTCTAGGATGATGCAATGTCCAGCCATCAACACATTTGTGAAGGAATTTTTACTCCCCAAAAGAGCGCCCCCCCATGGCAGGAGAAAAAAGTCCATTTTTTCTTGTCCCCTAAGGTGAAAATACACATTGTTGAGTGTCACGCCTATACGCTTTGTCAAAATGACACAAAAATTGACACACACATGTAACTCAATAAGATCTACAAAAAAGTCCATGCGCGCGTATCTGTCAAATGTACAGTTAAAGGGTTATTCCGCATTTTTTGCCGATTCGCACACATTGGAATGTGGCTATCTCCTCCTAAGGCTTTCGTCCCACCGATACCAAATTTGCTCAGGGCAATCTACACCCCATGCCCATTCAAAGTTGTAAAAATCATGACGCTGCACCCCACGGTTTACGTTCTAGGGGGCGCCAAAGATGACCCAAAAATCCACATTCTTAAAAGTCATTTTGGCCACTGCAGGAGTACAGAGTACTGCAGTTCTAGGGGGCGCCAAAGATGACCCAAAAATCCACATTCTTAAAGTCTTTTTGGCCACTGCAGGAGTACAGAGTACTGCAGGATACACACACATATACACACACGCCAACATACACACACACACACACACACACACACACACACACACACACACACACACACAGACACACACACACACTCAGAGTCTGTTTTTTAGCACCTGCAAAAACATGCTGTTTACATATTTGACAAGAATGCAGAGGCTTCCTTTTGCCCCTGAAAAAAATCAAATTTCAAACACAACTTGACTGTTCATTTCTCCAAAAGACAACCATGAAGCTCCATTTCAAACCTGAAGCAGATAGTTGGTGCATGTGTACAGTAACCTGAGGGGAGTGAGGTGACTATTTCTGAGGAGAACATGAGCAGTGAAGATTCACCTTGGAGCTAGAACAGGGACGTGCACATGATTATACAGGGGCAGGGGCTCAAGTTTTTTCCAGTCATTTATACAATATGGAAATTAATGTGAAATTAAACCACAAATATGTGTGATGAACTGTTTTTAAAACTTAAACTTCAAATAAAAATTGTAAACTTCAAAACATATGCAAATTTTTAACAAAGAACATAGTAATTTACCTCTATTTACATCAAAATGCAGGCAATGGCCCAGGCGTTCTTTGTAAAATTATTTACAAAACACTGTATAGTCTCACAAATGTCACTTTTTATTTATGCCACTACAAAAAAACATGATGTAAATGATGCATGATGTAAAACATGATGTAAAAAACTTGTGTAGATCCTCCTCTATGTCAGTCCATGTGTAATTTTTCCATAATTCTTTGTTTTTTGCAGCATTTTTGTTAGTGTAACTGCAGATTGTGCTGACAGTGTCTATGGCACAAAAAAAAATAAAATTAAAATGCCTCAACATGAACCCCTGGTGGTCTCTGAGGGTGAAACCTGCTAACTGCTGCAGCTCTGTCAGCTTCAGTCTCCCATGCAGAGCTCTGAGCACATGTGTGGCTCTGCACCCTTAGCAGCGTTGCTAACTCCTCAGTAAGGAAAGCCTGCTTCATGTCAGAGTCTCTAAACTCCAGAAGAAGTCGATAAAAGTCCCTTTCTTTCTAAAAAAAAGTCGTTAGGGTGTCTGAAAAGTCATTGAATCTAACAACAAAGTCGCTAGGTTTGCAACTACGTGTCCCAGACTGCATCCCTGCTGAGAGTCCCTCCCTCCCTTCTCATGTTGCAGGAAGAACGTAAGCGCCCGCCCCTTGTCAATCAGTCACCATATAATTTTGGATTGGTTGTTGTGGTGAAGTTTTCCACCAATAGGAGAGATGTTGTGGTGTGTTTTTTTTTTCTTTTGGCAAGCCTTTTCCGCCTGTAAGACCTGTCGCTAATGTCTGCATGCTATGTTTTCCTGTCTCATACAGCGCGATCGAGCGCCGAACGTGATCAAAATAAGCAGAAAAAAAGTATCGCGGACATAATTTATCATAACTCTGGTTTTATTTGGCCTATCAACACAATTTAAAAACTGGTATATAGGTTGAGGTCCTCACTTTTGAGATAAGTTGAAACGGAGAGTCAACGAGGCTCCGTCTTGCAGCTACATCCGGTTAAATATGTCATGTGACTTGAACGCACACATAGACACACACACACGCACACACACACACACACACACACACACACACACACACACACACACACACACACACACACTCAGAGTCTGGTTTTTAGCACCTGCAAAAACATGCTATTTACATATTTGACAAGAATGCAGAGGCTCCTTTTGCCCCTGAAAAAAATCAAATTTCAAACACAACTTGACTGGTCATTTCTCCAAAAGACAACCATGAAGCTCCATCCAAACCTGAAGCAGGCAGTTGGTGCATGTGTACAGTAACCTGAGGGGAGTGAGGTGAGTGCTTCTGAGGAGAACATGAGCAGTGAAGATTCACCTTGGAGCTAGAACAGAGACATGCACATGATTATACAGGGGCAGGGGCTCAAGTTTTTTCCAGTCGTTTATACAATATGGAAATTAATGTGAAATTAAAACACAAAGTATTAATAGAAAGGTAATGACTGTCCTGTGTAGGTGACAGTGATATCCAATAGGCTAGGCACTCACGAGGCTGGCTGTGGCAAGTGTAAGTGAAAGCAACACGCACTGGCAGGAAGAACAGCAAACGCCGATGAAGGAAAAGGGTCTTTGCAGTGATGGGCGTTAACAGAGAGGGCGATGGCCAGAGGACACAAATGGGACGGGGAGGCAGCACGTTGGGGGGGGGGGGGGGGGGGGGGACGCGACACGGCTCGGGCCCGCCAGTGCCCCAACGGGGTCCTAGTTTCTTTTTCCTCCCCTTTGAACTGGAAAATGGCCCACTTCCCACTGGCGAAAACTCATGAAATTTGGCAGGACGACCGGGCCTGGTGAAAAATTTGATATTCTGAAGTCGCCAAAACAATAAAATGCAAAATGGCTCCATAGCGCCCCCTAAGATGAAAATTCACACTATTCACTGTCACGACTGTACGCTTTGTCAAAATGACACAAAAATTGACACACACATGTATCTCAATAAGATCTACAAAAAAGTCAGTGCGGCCGTATCTGTCAAAATTACGGTTAAAGGGTTATTTCGCATTTTTTGCCGATCTGCACACATTGAAATTTCGCTAACTCCTCCGAAGGCTTTCGTTCCACCGGCACCACATTTGCTCAGGCCAATCTACACCCCGTGGCCATTAAAAGTTATCAAAATCATGACGCTGCACCCCAAGGTTTAGGTTCTAGGGGGCGCCAAAGATAACACTAAAATCCACATATTTAAAAGTCTTATAACTTTTTATTTTTGTCCTCACTGGCCTCCAAGTTTTCTAGGATGATGCAATGTCCAGCCATCAACACATTTGTGAAGGAATTTTTACTCCCCAAAAGAGCGCCCCCCATGGCAGGAGAAAAAAGTCCATTTTTTCTTGTCCCCTAAGGTGAAAATACACATTGTTGAGTGTCACGCCTATACGCTTTGTCAAAATGACACAAAAATTGACACACACATGTAACTCAATAAGATCTACGAAAAAGTCAATGCGCGCGTATCTGTCAAATGTACGGTTAAAGGGTTATTCCGCATTTTTTGCCGATCCGCACACATTGGAATGTGGCTAACTCCTCCTAAGGCTTTCGTTCCACCGGCACCACATTTGCTCAGGCCAATCTACACCCCATGGCCATTAAAAGTTATCAAAATCATGACGCTGCACCCCACGGTTTAGGTTCTAGGGGGCGCCAAAGATAACCCTAAAATCCACATATTTAAAAGTCTTATAACTTTTAATTTTGTCCTCACTGGCCTCCAAGTTTTCTAGGATGATGCAATGTCCAGCCATCAACACATTTGTGAAGGAATTTTTACTCCCCAAAAGAGCGCCCCCCATGGCAGGAGAAAAAAGTCCATTTTTTCTTGTCCCCTAAGGTGAAAATACATATTGTTGAGATTCACGCCTATACGCTTTGTCATATTGACACAAAATTTGACAATCACGTGCCTTGCCTGGTATCATTTTTTTCAGCACAACCTCACCTGTGCGAATTTACAGTTATTTCATCATGTTGACATACTGAATTTACACAATGGACCCAAATTCACACACAAAACATAAAATCCGAGTGGAAAAAAGTAACATTTTTACTGTGAAAACCACAAATATGTGTGATGAACTGTTTTTAAAACTTAAACTTCAAATAAAAATTGTAAACTTCAAAACATATGCAAATTTTTAACAAAGAACATAGTGATTTACCTCTATTTACATCAAAATGCAGGCAATGGCCCAGGCGTTCTTTGTAAAATTATTTACAAAACACTGTATAGTCTCACAAATGTCACTTTTTATTTATGCCACTACAAAAAAACATGATGTAAATGATGCATGATGTAAAACATGATGTAAAAAACTTGTGTAGATCCTCCTGTATGTCAGTCCATGTGTAATTTTTCCATAATTCTTTGTTTTTTGCAGCATTTTTGTTAGTGTAACTGCAGATTGTGCTGACAGTGTCTATGGCACAAAAAAAAAAAAATTAAAATGCCTCAACATGAACCCCTGGTGGTCTCTGAGGGTGAAACCTGCTAACTGCTGCAGCTCTGTCAGCTTCAGTCTCCCATGCAGAGCTCTGAGCGCATGTGTGGCTCTGCACCCTTAGCAGCGTTGCTAACTCCTCAGTAAGGAAAGCCTGCTTCATGTCAGAGTCTCTAAACTCCAGAAGAAGTCGATAAAAGTCCCTTTCTTTCTAAAAAAAAGTCGTTAGGGGGTCTGAAAAGTCATTGAATCTAACAACAAAGTCGCTAGGTTTGCAACTACGTGTCCCAGACTGCATCCCTGCTGAGAGTCCCTCCCTCCCTTCTCATGTTGCAGGAAGAACGTAAGCGTCCGCCCCTTGTCAATCAGTCACCATATAATTTTGGATTGGTTGTTGTGGTGAAGTTTTCCACCAATAGGAGAGATGTTGTGGTGTGTTTTTTTTCTTTTGGCAAGCCTTTTCCGCCTGTAAGACCTGTCGCTAATGTCTGCATGCTATGTTTTCCTGTCTCATACAGCGCGATCGAGCGCCGAACGTGATCAAAATAAGCAGAAAACAAGTATCGCAGACATAATTTATCATAACTCTGGTTTTATTTGGCCTATCAACACAATTTAAAAACTGGTATATAGGTTGAGGTCCTCACTTTTGAGATAAGTTGAAACGGAGAGTCAACAAGGCTCCGTCTTGCAGCTACATCCGGTTAAATATGTCATGTGACTTGAACGCACACACAGACACGCACACACACACACACACACACACACACACACACACACACACACACACACACACACACACACACACACTCAGAGTCTGGTTTTAGCACCTGCAAAAACATGCTATTTACATATTTGACAAGAATGCAGAGGCTCCTTTTGCCCCTGAAAAAAATCAAATTTCAAACACAACTTGACTGCTCATTTCTCCAAAAGACAACCATGAAGCTCCATCCAAACCTGAAGCAGGCAGTTGGTGCATGTGTACAGTAACCTGAGGGGAGTCAGGTGAGTGCTTCTGAGGAGAACATGAGCAGTGAAGATTCACCTTGGAGCTAGAACAGAGACATGCACATGATTATACAGGGGCAGGGGCTCAAGTTTTTTCCAGTCGTTTATACAATATGGAAATTAATGTGAAATTAAAACACAAAGTATTAATAGAAAGGTAATGACTGTCCTGTGTAGGTGACAGTGATATCCAATAGGCTAGGCACTCACGAGGCTGGCTGTGGCAAGTGTAAGTGAAAGCAACACGCACTGGCAGGAAGAACAGCAAACGCCGATGAAGGAAAAGGGTCTTTGCAGTGATGGGCGTTACCAGAGAGGGCGATGGCCAGAGGACACAAATGGGACGGGGAGGCAGCACGTTGGGGGGGGGACGCGACACGGCTCGGGCCCGCCAGTGCCCCAACGGGGTCCTAGTTATTATTTTTCCTCCCCTTTGAACTGGAAAATGGCCCACTTCCCACTGGCGAAAACTCATGAAATTTGGCAGGACGACCGGGCCTGGTGAAAAATTTGATATTCCGAAGTCGCCCAAACAAGAAAATGCAAAATGGCTCCATAGCGCCCCCTAAGGTGAAAATTCACACTATTGACTGTCACGCCTGTACGCTTTGTCAAAATGACACAAAAATTGACACACACATGTATCTCAATAAGATCTACAAAAAAGTCAGTGCGGGCGTATCTGTCAAATGTACGGTTAAAGGGTTATTTCGCATTTTTTGCCGATCCGCACACATTGGAATTTCGCTAACTCCTCCGAAGGCTTTCGTTCCACCGGCACCACATTTGCTCAGGCCAATCTACACCCCATGGCCATTAAAAGTTATTCAAATCATGACGCTGCACCCCACGGTTTAGGTTCTAGGGGGCGCCAAAGATAACCCTAAGATCCACATATTTAAAAGTCTTATAACTTTTTATTTTTGCCCTCACTGGCCTCCAAGTTTTCTAGGATGATGCAATGTCCAGCCATCAACACATTTGTGAAGGAATTTTTACTCCCCAAAAGAGCGCCCCCCCATGGCAGGAGAAAAAAGTCCATTTTTTCTTGTCCCCTAAGGTGAAAATACACATTGTTGAGTGTAACACCTGTACGCTTTGGCAAAATGACACAAAAATTGACACACACATGTATCTCAATAAGATCTACGAAAAAGTCAATGCGCGCGTATCTGTCAAATGTACGGTTAAAGGGTTATTCCGCATTTTTTGCCGATCCGCACACATTGGAATTTCGCTAACTCCTCCGAAGGCTTTCGTTCCACCGGCACCACATTCGCTCAGGCCAATCTACACCCCATGGCCATTAAAAGTTATTCAAATCATGACGCTGCACCCCACGGTTTAGGTTCTAGGGGGCGCCAAAGATAACCCTAAAATCCACATATTTAAAAGTCTTATAACTTTTTATTTTTGTCCTCACTGGCCTCCAAGTTTTCTAGGATGATGCAATGTCCAGCCATCAACACATTTGTGAAGGAATTTTTACTCCCCAAAAGAGCGCCCCCCCATGGCAGGAGAAAAAAGTCAATTTTTTCTTGTCCCCTAAGGTGAAAATACACATTGTTGAGTGTCACGCCTATACGCTTTGTCATATTGACCCAAAATTTGACAATCACGTGTATCTCAATAAGATCTACGAAAAAGTCAATGGACACGTATCTGTAAAATGTACGGTTAAAGGGTTATTTCGCATTTTTTCCCGATCCGCACACATTGGAATTTCGCTAACTCCTCCGAAGGCTTTCGTTCCACCGCCAACAAATTTGCTCAGGCCAATCTACACCCCATGGCCATTCAAAGTTGTACAAATCATGACACTGCACTCCACGGTTTAGGTTCTAGGGGGCGCCAAACATAACCCAAAAATCCACATTCTTAATAGTCTTATAACTTTTTATTTTTGTCCTCACTGGCCTCCAAGTTTTCTAGGATGATGCAATGTCCAGCCATCAACACATTTGTAAAGGAATTTTCACTCTCGAAAAGAGCGCCCCCCCATGGCAGGAGAAAAAAGTCCATTTTTTCTTGTCTCCTAAGGTGAAAAAACACATTGTTGACTGTCACGCCTATACGCTTTGTCAAAATGACACAAAATTTGACACACACGTGTATCTCAATAAGATCTACGAAAAAGTCAATGTGCACGTATCTGTAAAATGTACGGTCAAAGGGCTATTTCGCATTTTTTCCCGATCCGCACACATTGGAATTTCGCTAACTCCTCCTAAGGCTTTCATCCACCGACACCAAATTTGCTCAAGCCGATCTACATCCCATGGCCATTCAAAGTTGTAAAAATCATGACGCTGCACCCCACGGTTTACGTTCTAGGGGGCGCCAAAGATGACCCAAATATCCACATTCTTAAAAGAATCCACCCCCCCCTCCCCCCAAGGCAGGAGGAAAAGTCAAGTTTTTCCTGCCCATTGCTCAATGGCTCAATCGCATCGCTCTCCCGGATACACCGTAAGGAGGAGCAACTTGCCATTTGGATATGTCCTAGCTGTGTTTGTGCCCTCACTCATGGTCCAGACTTTTTTCAAATAGGACATGTAGTTTGTCTGCAGCGAGTGTTTTGGTAGAAACTGCGCCTCCCATTCATTATAATGGTAAATGACCACAGACAAGTGCGCACACCATCTTTGGACCTTGAGTGTGACGCGATCGGGAGGGGGAGGCGGTCGCGCTGGGGGCGGCGCGACACGGCTCGGGCCCGACAGTGCCCCACCGGGGCCCTAGTTATTATTTTTCCTCCCCTTTGAACTGGAAAATGGCCCACTTCCCACTGGCGAAAACTCATGAAATTTGGCAGGACGACCGGGCCTGGTGAAAAATTTGATATTCTGAAGTCGCCCAAACAATAAAATGCAAAATGGCTCCATAGCGCCCCCTAAGGTGAAAATTCACACTATTCACTGTCACGCCTGTACGCTTTGTCAAAATGACACAAAAATTGACACACACATGTATCTCAATAAGATCTACAAAAAAGTCAGTGCGGGCGTATCTGTCAAATGTACGGTTAAAGGGTTATTTCGCATTTTTTGCCGATCCGCACACATTGGAATTTCGCTAACTCCTCCGAAGGCTTTCGTTCCACCGGCACCACATTTGCTCAGGCCAATCTACACCCCATGGCCATTAAAAGTTATTCAAATCATGACGCTGCACCCCACGGTTTAGGTTCTAGGGGGCGCCAAAGATAACCCTAAGATCCACATATTTAAAAGTCTTATAACTTTTTATTTTTGCCCTCACTGGCCTCCAAGTTTTCTAGGATGATGCAATGTCCAGCCATCAACACATTTGTGAAGGAATTTTTACTCCCCAAAAGAGCGCCCCCCCATGGCAGGAGAAAAAAGTCCATTTTTTCTTGTCCCCTAAGGTGAAAATACACATTGTTGAGTGTAACACCTGTACGCTTTGGCAAAATGACACAAAAATTGACACACACATGTATCTCAATAAGATCTACGAAAAAGTCAATGCGCGCGTATCTGTCAAATGTACGGTTAAAGGGTTATTCCGCATTTTTTGCCGATCCGCACACATTGGAATTTCGCTAACTCCTCCGAAGGCTTTCGTTCCACCGGCACCACATTTGCTCAGGCCAATCTACACCCCATGGCCATTAAAAGTTATTCAAATCATGACGCTGCACCCCACGGTTTAGGTTCTAGGGGGCGCCAAAGATAACCCTAAAATCCACATATTTCAAAGTCTTATAACTTTTTATTTTTGTCCTCACTGGCCTCCAAGTTTTCTAGGATGATGCAATGTCCAGCCATCAACACATTTGTGAAGGAATTTTTACTCCCCAAAAGAGCGCCCCCCCATGGCAGGAGAAAAAAGTCAATTTTTTCTTGTCCCGTAAGGTGAAAATTCACATTGTTGAGTGTGACACCTGTACGCTTTGTCATATTGACACAAAATTTGACAATCACGTGTATCTCAATAAGATCTACGAAAAAGTCAATGCACGCGTATCTGTCAAATGTACGGTTAGAGGGCTATTTTGCATTTTTTGCCGATTTGCACACATTGGAAAGTGGCTAACTCCTCCTAAGGCTTTCGTCCCACTGAAACCAAATTTGCTCAGGCCAATCTACACCCCATGGCCATTCAAAGTTGTAAAAATCATGACGCTGCACCCCACGGTTTACGTTCTAGGGGGCGCCAAAGATGACCCAAAAAACCACATTCTTAAAAGAATCCACATTCCCCCCCGCCCATGGCAGGAGAAAAAGTCAAGTTTTTCCTGCCCATCGCTCAATGGCTCAATCGCATCCCTCTCCAGGCAACACCGTAAGGAGGAGCAACCTGCCATTTGGATATATCCTAGCTGTGTTTGTGCCCTCACTCATGGTCCAGACTTTTTTCAAATAGGACATGAAGTTTGTCTGCAGCGAGTGTTTTGGTAGAAACTGCGCCTCCCATTCATTATAATGGGAAATGACCACAGACAAGTGCGCACACCATCTTTGGACCTTGAGTGTGACGCGATCGGGAGGGGGAGGCGGTCGCGCTGGGGGCGGCGCGACGCGGCTCGGGCCCGACAGTGCCCCACCGGGGTCCTAGTTAGGGCCCGAGCGTAGCTGCTAAGCAGCTGCGAGAGCCCTCTTGTTCCTGCATGTTTCCTTCTTTTGTTATTATTAGGGCCCGAGCGTAGCTGCTAAGCAGCTGCGAGAGCCCTCTTGTTCCTGATGGATTCTTCTTTAGGGCCCGAGCGTAGCTGCTAAGCAGCTGCGAGAGCCCTCTTGTTCCTGTAGTTTCCTTCTTTTGTTATTATTATTATTTTTCCTCCCCTTTGAACTGGAAAATGGCCCACTTCCCACTGGCGAAAACTCATGAAATTTGGCAGGACGACCGGGCCTGGTGAAAAATTTGATATTCTGAAGTCGCCCAAACAATAAAATGCAAAATGGCTCCATAGCGCCCCCTAAGGTGAAAATTCACACTATTCACTGTCACGCCTGTACGCTTTGTCAAAATGACACAAAAATTGACACACACATGTATCTCAATAAGATCTACAAAAAAGTCAGTGCGGGCGTATCTGTCAAATGTACGGTTAAAGGGTTATTTCGCATTTTTTGCCGATCCGCACACATTGGAATTTCGCTAACTCCTCCGAAGGCTTTCGTTCCACCGGCACCACATTTGCTCAGGCCAATCTACACCCCATGGCCATTAAAAGTTATTCAAATCATGACGCTGCACCCCACGGTTTAGGTTCTAGGGGGCGCCAAAGATAACCCTAAGATCCACATATTTAAAAGTCTTATAACTTTTTATTTTTGCCCTCACTGGCCTCCAAGTTTTCTAGGATGATGCAATGTCCAGCCATCAACACATTTGTGAAGGAATTTTTACTCCCCAAAAGAGCGCCCCCCCATGGCAGGAGAAAAAAGTCCATTTTTTCTTGTCCCCTAAGGTGAAAATACACATTGTTGAGTGTAACACCTGTACGCTTTGGCAAAATGACACAAAATTTGACACACACGTGTATCTCAATAAGATCTACGAAAAAGTCAACGCGCGCGTATCTGTCAAATGTACGGTTAAAGGGTTATTCCGCATTTTTTGCCAATCCGCACACATTGGAATTTCGCTAACTCCTCCGAAGGCTTTCGTTCCACCGGCACCACATTTGCTCAGGCCAATCTACACCCCATGGCCATTAAAAGTTATTCAAATCATGACGCTGCACCCCACGGTTTAGGTTCTAGGGGGAGCCAAAGATAACCGTAAAATCCACATATTTAAAAGTCTTATAACTTTTTATTTTTGTCCCCACTGGCCTCCAAGTTTTCTAGGATGATGCAATGTCCAGCCATCAACACATTTGTGAAGGAATTTTTACTCGGAAAAAGAGCGCCCCCCATGGCAGGAGAAAAAAGTCAATTTTTTCTTGTCCACTAAGGTGAAAATACACATTGTTGAGTGCTAAGCTTGTATGTTTTGTCGTAGTGACACAAAATTTTACATACACGTGTATTTCAATAAGATCTTCGAAAAAGTCAATGGCCACGTATCTGTAAAATGTACGGTTAAAGGGTTATTTCGCATTTTTTGCAGATTCGCACACATTGGAATGTGGCTAATTCCTCCGAAGGCTTTCGTTCCACCGGCACCACATTTGCTCAGGCCAATCTACACCCCATGGCCATTAAAAGTTATTCAAATCATGACGCTGCACCCCACGGTTTAGGTTCTAGGGGGCGCCAAAGATAACCCTAAAATCCACATATTTAAAAGTCTTATAACTTTTTATTTTTGTCCTCACTGGCCTCCAAGTTTTCTAGGATGATGCAATGTCCAGCCATCAACACATTTGTGAAAGAATTTTTTCTCCCCAAAAGAGCGCCCCCCATGGCAGGAGAAAAAGTTAAGTTTTTCCTGCCCTTCGCCCAATGGCTCAAACGCATCGCTCTCTCGGCAAAACCGAAAGGAGGAGCAACTTGCCATTTGGATATATGGAAGCTGTGTTTGTGCCCTCACTCATGGTCCAGACTTTTTTCAAAAAGGACATGGAGTTTGTCTGCAGCGAGCATTTTGGTAGAAACTGCGCCTCCCATTCATTATAATGGTAAATGACCACAGACAAGTGCGCACACCATCTTTGGACCTTGAGTGTGACGCGATCGGGAGGGGGAGGCGGTCGCGCTGGGGGCGGCGCGACACGGCTCGGGCCCGCCAGTGCCCCACCGGGGCCCTAGTTTGTTATTATTATTATTATTTTTCCTCCGCTTTAAACTGGAAAATGGCCCACTTCCCACTGGCGAAAACTCATGAAATTTGGCAGGACGACCGGGCCTGGTGAAAAATTCGATATTCTGAAGTCGCCCAAACAATAAAATGCAAAATGGCTCCATAGCGCCCCCTAAGGTGGAAATTCACACTATTGACTGTCACGTCTGTACGTTTTGTCATATTGACACAAAAATTGACACACATATGTATCTCAATAAGATCTACAAAAAAGTCAGTGCGGGCGTATCTGTCAAATGTACGGTTAAAGGGTTATTTCGCATTTTTTGCCGATCCGCACACATTGGAATTTCGCTAACTCCTCCGAAGGCTTTCGTTCCACCGGCACCACATTTGCTCAGGCCAGTCTACACCCCATGGCCATTAAAAGTTGTACAAATCATGACGCTGCACCCCACGGTTTAGGTTCTAGGGGGCGCCAAAGATAACCCAAAAATCCACATTCTTAAAAGTCTTATAACTTTTTATTTTTGTCCTCACTGCCCTCCAAGTTTTCTAGGATGATGCAATGTCCAGCCATCAACACATTTGTGAAGGAATTTTTACTCCCCAAAAGAGCGCCCCCCCATGGCAGGAGAAAAAAGTCAATTTTTTCTTGTCCCCTTACATGAAAATACACATTGTTGAGTGTCACGCCTGAACGCTTTGTCATATTGACACAAAAATTGACAATCATGTGTATCTCAATTAGATCTACGAAAAAGTCAAAGAGCGCGTATCTGTATAATGTACGGTTAAAGGGCTATTTCGCATTTTTTGCCGATTCGCACACATTGGAATGTGGCTATCTCCTCCTAAGGCTTTCGTCCCACTGATACCAAATTTGCTCAGGGCAATCTACACCCCATGCCCATTCAAAGTTGTAAAAATCATGACGCTGCACCCCACGGTTTACGTTCTAGGGGGCGCCAAAGATGACCCAAAAATCCACATTCTTAAAAGTCATTTTGGCCACTGCAGGAGTACAGAGTACTGCAGTTCTAGGGGGCGCCAAAGATGACCCAAAAATCCACATTCTTAAAAGTCTTTTTGGCCACTGCAGGAGTACAGAGTACTGCAGGATACACACACATATACACACACGCCAACACACACACACACACACACACACACACACACACACACACACACACACACACACACACACACACACACACACACACACACACACACTCAGAGTCTGGTTTGTAGCACCTGCAAAAACATGCTATTTACATATTTGACAAGAATGCAGAGGCTCCTTTTGCCCCTGAAAAAAATCAAATTTCAAACACAACTTGACTGGTCATTTCTCCAAAAGACAACCATGAAGCTCCATCCAAACCTGAAGCAGGCAGTTGGTGCATGTGTACAGTAACCTGAGGGGAGTGAGGTGACTGCTTCTGAGGAGAACATGAGCAGTGAAGATTTACCTTAGAGCTAGAACAGAGACGTGCACATGATTATACAGGGGCAGGGGCTCAAGTTTTTTCCAGTCGTTTATACAATTTGGAAATTAATGTGAAATTAAAACACAAAGTATTAATAGAAAGGTAGTGACTGTCCTGTGTAGGTGACAGTGATATCCAATAGGCTAGGCACTCACGAGGCTGGCTGTGGCAAGTGTAAGTGAAAGCAACACGCACTGGCAGGAAGAACAGCAAACGCCGATGAAGGAAAAGGGTCTTTGCAGTGATGGGCGTTACCAAAGAGGGCGATGGCCAGAGGACACAAATGGGACGGGGAGGCAGCGCGTTGGGGGGGGGGACGCGACACAGCTCGGGCCCGCCAGTGCCCCAACGGGGTCCTAGTTAGGGCCCGAGCGTAGCTGCTAAGCAGCTGCGAGAGCCCTCTTGTTCCTGATGGATTCTTCTTTTGTTATTATTATTATTATTTTTCCTCCGCTTTAAACTGGAAAATGGCCCACTTCCCACTGGCGAAAACTCATGAAATTTGGCAGGACGACCGGGCCTGGTGAAAAATTCGATATTCTGAAGTCGCCCAAACAATAAAATGCAAAATGGCTCCATAGCGCCCCCTAAGGTGGAAATTCACACTATTGACTGTCACGTCTGTACGTTTTGTCATATTGACACAAAAATTGACACACATATGTATCTCAATAAGATCTACAAAAAAGTCAGTGCGGGCGTATCTGTCAAATGTACGGTTAAAGGGTTATTTCGCATTTTTTGCCGATCCGCACACATTGGAATTTCGCTAACTCCTCCGAAGGCTTTCGTTCCACCGGCACCACATTTGCTCAGGCCAGTCTACACCCCATGGCCATTAAAAGTTGTACAAATCATGACGCTGCACCCCACGGTTTAGGTTCTAGGGGGCGCCAAAGATAACCCAAAAATCCACATTCTTAAAAGTCTTATAACTTTTTATTTTTGTCCTCACTGCCCTCCAAGTTTTCTAGGATGATGCAATGTCCAGCCATCAACACATTTGTGAAGGAATTTTTACTCCCCAAAAGAGCGCCCCCCCATGGCAGGAGAAAAAAGTCAATTTTTTCTTGTCCCCTTACATGAAAATACACATTGTTGAGTGTCACGCCTGAACGCTTTGTCATATTGACACAAAAATTGACAATCATGTGTATCTCAATTAGATCTACGAAAAAGTCAAAGAGCGCGTATCTGTATAATGTACGGTTAAAGGGCTATTTCGCATTTTTTGCCGATTCGCACACATTGGAATGTGGCTATCTCCTCCTAAGGCTTTCGTCCCACTGATACCAAATTTGCTCAGGGCAATCTACACCCCATGCCCATTCAAAGTTGTAAAAATCATGACGCTGCACCCCACGGTTTACGTTCTAGGGGGCGCCAAAGATGACCCAAAAATCCACATTCTTAAAAGTCATTTTGGCCACTGCAGGAGTACAGAGTACTGCAGTTCTAGGGGGCGCCAAAGATGACCCAAAAATCCACATTCTTAAAAGTCTTTTTGGCCACTGCAGGAGTACAGAGTACTGCAGGATACACACACATATACACACACACACACACACACACACACACACACACACACACACACACACACACACACACACACACACACACACACACACACACTCAGAGTCTGGTTTTTAGCACCTGCAAAAACATGCTATTTACATATTTGACAAGAATGCAGAGGCTCCTTTTGCCCCTGAAAAAAATCAAATTTCAAACACAACTTGACTGGTCATTTCTCCAAAAGACAACCATGAAGCTCCATCCAAACCTGAAGCAGGCAGTTGGTGCATGTGTACAGTAACCTGAGGGGAGTGAGGTGACTGCTTCTGAGGAGAACATGAGCAGTGAAGATTTACCTTAGAGCTAGAACAGAGACGTGCACATGATTATACAGGGGCAGGGGCTCAAGTTTTTTCCAGTCGTTTATACAATTTGGAAATTAATGTGAAATTAAAACACAAAGTATTAATAGAAAGGTAGTGACTGTCCTGTGTAGGTGACAGTGATATCCAATAGGCTAGGCACTCACGAGGCTGGCTGTGGCAAGTGTAAGTGAAAGCAACACGCACTGGCAGGAAGAACAGCAAACGCCGATGAAGGAAAAGGGTCTTTGCAGTGATGGGCGTTACCAAAGAGGGCGATGGCCAGAGGACACAAATGGGACGGGGAGGCAGCGCGTTGGGGGGGGGACGCGACACAGCTCGGGCCCGCCAGTGCCCCAACGGGGTCCTAGTTATTATTTTTCCTCCCCTTTGAACTGGAAAATGGCCCACTTCCCACTGGCGAAAACTCATGAAATTTGGCAGGACGACCGGGCCTGGTGAAAAATTTGATATTCCGAAGTCGCCCAAACAAGAAAATGCAAAATGGCTCCATAGCGCCCCCTAAGGTGAAAATTCACACTATTGACTGTCACGCGTGTACGCTTTGTCAAAATGACACAAAAATTGACACACACATGTATCTCAATAAGATCTACAAAAAAGTCAGTGCGGGCGTATCTGTCAAATGTACGGTTAAAGGGTTATTTCGCATTTTTTGCCGATCCGCACACATTGGAATTTCGCTAACTCCTCCGAAGGCTTTCGTTCCACCGGCACCACATTTGCTCAGGCCAATCTACACCCCATGGCCATTAAAAGTTATTCAAATCATGACGCTGCACCCCAAGGTTTAGGTTCTAGGGGGCGCCAAAGATAACCCTAAGATCCACATATTTAAAAGTCTTATAACTTTTTATTTTTGCCCTCACTGGCCTCCAAGTTTTCTAGGATGATGCAATGTCCAGCCATCAACACATTTGTGAAGGAATTTTTACTCCCCAAAAGAGCGCCCCCCATGGCAGGAGAAAAAAGTCCATTTTTTCTTGTCCCCTAAGGTGAAAATACACATTGTTGAGTGTAACACCTGTACGCTTTGGCAAAATGACACAAAAATTGACACACACATGTATCTCAATAAGATCTACGAAAAAGTCAATGCGCGCGTATCTGTCAAATGTACGGTTAAAGGGTTATTCCGCATTTTTTGCCGATCCGCACACATTGGAATTTCGCTAACTCCTCCGAAGGCTTTCGTTCCACCGGCACCACATTTGCTCAGGCCAATCTACACCCCATGGCCATTAAAAGTTATTCAAATCATGACGCTGCACCCCACGGTTTAGGTTCTAGGGGGCGCCAAAGATAACCCTAAAATCCACATATTTAAAAGTCTTATAACTTTTTATTTTTGTCCTCACTGGCCTCCAAGTTTTCTAGGATGATGCAATGTCCAGCCATCAACACATTTGTGAAGGAATTTTTACTCCCCAAAAGAGCGCCCCCCCATGGCAGGAGAAAAAAGTCAATTTTTTCTTGTCCCCTAAGGTGGAAATTCACACTATTGACTGTCACGCCTGTACGCTTTATCATATTGACACAAAAATTGACACACATATGTATCTCAATAAGATCTACAAAAAAGTCAATGCGCGCGTATCTGTCAAATGTACGGTTAAAGGGCTATTTTGCATTTTTTGCCGATTCGCACACATTGGAATGTGGCTAACTCCTCCTAAGGCTTTCGTCCCACTGACACCAAATTTGCTCAGGCCAATCTACACCCCATGGCCATTCAAATTTGTAAAAATCATGACGCTGCACCCCACGGTTTACGTTCTAGGGGGCGCCAAAGATGACCCAAAAATCCACATTCTTAAAGGAATCCACATCCCCCCCCCACAAGGCAG